TGCGAAATCGAGTTTCACGAGCGATCGAGTCACGACCGCTCGTCAAAAAAATTCGAAACACAGAGATTATCCCGCGCGTGTTCGCGAGCCGGCATGTTCCGATTCTGATTTACGCCCACGTAACTAACAAAAACGCGACAACGGTTACGAGTCCTCGGGATTAGTTCCAATAGCAACGCCCACGTAATTGATAACGATAACTTTCTTTTATTGGAACGATCGCGAGCGCAATAAACAGCAATGGTTATCGTGCTCGTTAACCACGGAACCGTACACGAGTTCCGCCCGCGACGATCGCGCTGCTCCGAATCGATCGGAACGCGTTGTCCCGCGCCGCGCGAGAATCAAAAACGATCGCCCGAGGCCGTTCGACGGACATTATTCCGCGCGACGGACCGATCGACTAATTATTTAGTCGAACAAACCGGCCGTGTCGCGACACGCGACAATCGAAACACGCCGGCGGGTGCCCGAGGCGCGGGATTTACGCGAGCGACGCGTCCCCGCGTTACTCGAATCTCCTTCTCGGCCCCTTATCTTCGCTTTTTTCCTTTCCGCGTTCGCCGTTTTCGCAGAGTCCGGGGCCGCGGTTACGGTCAATTACAGTCGTTGAACATTGTTTCGCCGTAATGTAACGGGCACCGCTCACGGAGCACGCCCGTGGGCGAGTGCACGCCGCTGCGTTTTGCATAAATTACGTGTATAGTTGTGTCTGGTTCGCGTGGTCGCGCGGCGTTATTGTCAAAATAATGCGGGAGCAGGTTGCCGCTGCAGGCTTGATAAAACAAATAGACCCGGCACACGTAAGTTGTATATTCGACCTTTTCCCGGGCCCAGCCGGCAATTGTTTCCTGCGATCGCGGGATTAAAACACGGGAGAAAGGAATAAAAGAAAGACGTAAAGGTTGGCCGCGCTTCCGAGGCGAAACGGCCGCGTTCCGCGCGACGCCGCGACGAACGTCGCGATAAGCGGATCAAAGTAATCCGGAATCCGACGGAAAATCGTCCGGGAAATTAGCGAAAGCCCCGTCCGTCGGCATCGCGGGCCGCGCGAGAAACTTTTCGACTTCGCTGCCGGCGAATCTGCCTTCTTCCCCGGCGAGTCTTTTCTTCGCGAACGATACTCCGATAGTTGGTACGCCTGGCGGAGGGGCTGTTCGCGCGGAGCGCACCGTGAAATTACAGATTACATTCCTCGCTTCGATTATTCGGCCGCCGTAAACAGACTTTCCCGCAATTACCGGCCGCCGTGCTCGAAAGAGTACGGAACACGTAATTGAAGCTCGTCCTCCATTGACAAGAAGCAACGGGTGGCTTTCAATAGGAGCGTTTCGCGCGCGTTCCCCGCAAAGAGTTCGCTCCGCTACACGGTCCTCGGTTCAGCTATACATCCGAGACGACGTTGCTAACAATTCCCTTGTACCTTCTCGGGGAGAAATAAAGCATCTTCGAACACACGCGGCCAGATTTCAGAATCAACTGAACGATCAATGCTCGCGGAGTATAATCCCGATTGAATATAATTCAGACTACGACGTTGCTTGTACCGTGGCACCTCGATTCACGCGCGAGATGCGTTCTCCCGAGACAAAGCGTTAAACGAAACCTCTGTTCCGCTAGTTCTTTCGGAGCCGCGATTCGGAAGAGACCGAGTTGCATCGTATCAACGTTCATCGGACTCGCGTTAAACGGCTATTACTGCGACTCCATGAATAGAAAGTGAACGTTCCTCCCCGCGAAAGCACGGATTCGAATAAAAATCGAACAATCGGGACGGACAAACGCAAACGGCAAACGCACCACCTGTTACTTAATTTTCCTAAGTTTATTAACATACTCGGCGTATTCCCAAGTGACGTTCAAGCCGATGCAATACAAAAATTGAATACGAACTTCAATAGACTGTACGAAACAGACTCTTCTAACGCTTTCCCGGGCACTCGCGCGTATATCGGTGTATCCGGACGCCACGGTTTTTCAGATCGTTTATTAAAAGCGTCAGCAAAGCGGAACAATGGAAACGGACTCGTTGCGAAACCGTCTGCCCACGTAAATCTCCGCGGGCAGCGTTTAAAGAACGAACGACTTAAAACCGGCGTACTCCGCCAGGTTGTTTCCCTCGCGGCGGCGTAATCCTAAAATATTTCTCGCGCGTGCCTGGGGGCCGGTTCCGCGAGCCGTCGAAGCGAAATTGAATTTCCGTTCCGCTTCCTTGTTCCGGCGGTCGCGGGGAGAGCATTATGTATCGACGGTAGGAACCGCGGCGCGTTAACGAGCCGCGCGTATCTCGCGCGAAGCGTTCTCGGCGTGCACGAATCGCTCGCACTGGGCGACCGTGTCCGGCAGACGAACAAAGTAACGGCTCGTCGAATTCGATCGCGGCCGACGGGAGATTCCGCGGAACGGGGCATCACCGCCGGTGTCGTCGGGGATCGGACACGGCAGGATGTAACGGGCGGACAGCATGGCATTGAGGGACACGGGCCGATTATGAGAAAGAATCGGGCGTATCGGTGCAACGGGTATCGGGCTACTTATGGTAATTCGAAACGAGTTTCGGCCTGACGGAAAACACGTCGCAGCGCGTTTACTACTGGTGTGCCTAAGGCGTGGACAAAAGATGAATTTCAGACCGATGACCTTTCTCCTCGGCCAGAAAGAGAGAATCGGGGAGAGTGATGAAGAAGAGGAGGAGGAGGAGGAGGAGGAGGAAGAAGAAGA